GACCTGGCACACCGCATGCAACGGTGGGGTCTGACATAAAAATGATGGGGAGGGTGGCGTAGGACGGGGCAGTGTTGCGTTCTGCTGAACATCAGGTCTCTGAGTCAGAGCTGACTCAACTGGCACCTGACAACAAGCTACAGGGAATCCCTGGAAAGTAGGAATGCTCCTGTTCTCTGGCTTCCAGGTCTTGGGCATGTACTTCCCCAGGGACAGTTCCGGGCTCTGTGGTCTCTGGCTACCCCTCCCCCACTATCACCCCTGCAGGAACCTCTACTCCCTAAGGGCCACTCAGCTCATGCCCCCCCTCCCACCCCTGCCATGGGAGCTCACCCTACAAAACCACTAGGGGAAAGATCCCAAGTGGGTCTTGAGGTTGTAGAACTTTCCAGAAGGACAGCCCTGCAACCTAAGGTTCCCAGCTTCTAGATTGGCAGAACCATCTAGAAGCTCATGAATCTAGTGGCTGTTCTGTGCCTGCCTCCCCCCACAGTCTGGACTGAGTCAGTCTGACAGCTGATAAGTTCATGACGACAGTGATGTGTCGGTGGGTCTGGTTGGAGGAAGCCAGGTCCTTCTGCTCAGCCCTGTGCTTGGGGGCAGGAGGGCACAGGGCGGGCAGAGTCCCCTGTAATGGGAAGGGACCATCCCCAAGCCCCGGCATCTGCATTTGGAGAAAGCCGGCAGTGCCGGCGATGTGGTTTCAACATCGTTCCCATAAACCAGCCCAGCCAGAGAGATGCTGCTTTCAGTGCACTCTGATGAGGAGCCCAGGCGGCATAGTGGTGCATTGGCCTGCGATCTGCAGGGTCAGCGTTTCGAAACCACCAGATGCTCCCCGGGGCCTTGCATTCCCATAAAGAGTTAACCGTCTGTACCTACAAACCTGCTTGACAGGGTAGGCCCCCCCCGCCCCCCCGGAACACAGAACCAGCCAACCCACTGGGCCTCCCCTGCCAACTGCAGAAAGGCCAGTCTCTGTGTGGGCAGCAGAAAGGCCTGGGCCACCTGGAAATCCAGGACAGTTAAACCCCTCAGGACCAATAATGGAAGTAGGGATACTAGGAGGGTAAGGGGAGGGGGTGGGGGAGTAAGGGGAAAC